ATATTAATTTCCGCATATTGTATCACTAGTAATTGTAATACTGCATGTATTTTGTTTTCACTTGTATATCTGCTTTTTTGCATTGGATAGGCGTGACTGTATTGGTAACATAGCTTTTAAACATTAGGCATATTGAACATAATAAAGGGTAGTGCAACCTTACATGTTCACTATAGAGAAGCTATGCAGTTATTAAGTTGCATCCAGACACTCCATTGCTTACAAAAGGCCACATTTGACGTTTTAATGGAAAACATGAGATAAAAACTGTGTTAGTGTTTAAATGTTTATGAAAATTACGTAGTCAGGAAGATCTCTTTGCATCAAGGCAGCAGCTATGATTTTCTTGGCGGGAATTAGACAGTGTGTGATAAACATCCCATGGTTATAAGACCATTGTTTGTTATTTCTGTGAAGAAGAACCATAGCTTGATCTGGTTTGATATTAAACTTTTTGATAGTTGATATGACAGTAAAAGCAAACTCCCAAAATGGGAAGATCTTATGACATGGACACATTGAGAAGCATACCTTTGTCACTGCAGTCTCCCAACACATGGAGGGCGTATTAGGGAATACTCTTGGTAATTGTAGAGGAGTATAATACTAGCAGTGTAAAAATTTGAGAAAGGAGTAGAGATATAATAATTTATAGATGTGTGAGCTATATGCAGCAACCTTCAGAAGGTGGACACTGGCAAACAGAAAACAAAAACATGAAAGGCCTTCCCATTATAACCCTGTCCCTAATAGTCATACCTCAGTTTCGAAAACAAACAGTACACAGGGCCAAAACACAGAAGGGACCTGTGTTCATCAATGGACTCCAATTAAAAGATTACAAGTACAAACATTCTATTTTCTCTCTGTCCATATAGCTACTCTAAAAGCAATCTTACTCAGGGGGTGGACACTGCCACTGAGAGATCCAAAGGAAGTTAAACTCTTACTAAAAGAGTGTCTGAAAGAATTTTCGTCTGGAAGACCAGAGAAATAATAAAGAAGCAACTACTTAGAAACTGGTACTATAAAGAAAGGCACCAAGAATGAATCTGGTGTACCAGAGAAGGGCAGGTAGCACCACTAGGGGAAGACTGTTATCTGAAGGATAATGGAGCTCATCTGAAATGAGGACAGAGACCGAACATGCTGGAGAAGGTAGCCTGCTCAGCACCTGTATACATCTAGGTCCCAGAAGGGTTAGAGCTTGGAGCCTGTTTGTATCTGACAGGAAAACTACATAAGGCTATAAAAATGTTGTCAAAGACTGGACACACAATAACAAGCATTACTTCACACCTGAGACTCTGTGATCGCTGGAAGGCTCCATGGAAGGAATTAAACGTTACTCACCAAGCTGCCTTTGCCTGTTGCATAGGCACACTCTCAAGGAGTCTTCCGGGACAAGACATGTAAGTGTCATGTTTCTGGATTTGGAAAGCACTTTGTGGCTAACTAACATGGAACTAGATCCAGAAAGCATGACGAGCAGGCCCCACATCTTTGATCCAGCAAAGTGCAGCCTTCAAGACTATTCTTAAGATCAGCCAATGTGAATTACTGCTGTATAGAATCCAGTTCAAGCAGTATATGAAAATCTGAGTTGATAAAAGAATAGATAATGTAAAACAAAAAACCTAGGATTTTATTCAGCAGAACTGAGAGAAGAGCTTGCAACCTCATAGGTCACCAGCAAAAATTGAAACATGACTGTGAAGGGATTGTTATAGAAGACTTTCAACTTTTAGACTGCTGTTTGTACATGCTCACCTCCTTGAAGACATCTACATAAAACCGACATATCTATGAATTACTATATCCGTGTGTCCCTCAATGAACAATAAAGAAAATGAGTTTACAATATTGCCACTTTTCACAATATTGTTTGTCCTGAAAAAATATGTAATACCTTTCTATCTTATGTCTTGACAAAGTAATTGCTGAATCAAAAGGCGTATAGCTAAAGTTTAAAACAATTGCTGTAGTCTATAAGGGGTATACAGGCTCAGCTGTTGAAGTAGTGAAGTCCTACCACTTCCACCCCCGGTACTTCTGGACCAATTGTTGTTTTATTAAAATATCAATTTTTTGCAAACACATGCTGTAATGGTGGTACAGAAAACAGCACAATAGGGATGCAGCTTAATGGTGTGGTCTATTTATTGTTTAAGCTTACGGCATCAGCTTTTCTTTGCCTATGGGATCCTGAGATTTAAAGTGGTTCTAAAGGCAGAAGGTTTATTACCTTTTTGCATTTTATGCATGAATGTAAAAACCCCATGAATGTAAAACCCCTTTTTTTTTCTTAGATACAAATAATAGAAAATTATAGTGGTCTAGACAACATTATTAGTTCCTGCAGATAAGTATTTTATTTGAAAGCGCAAGTGATTTTTCATTCAGTGCTTAGCTGGACCCTCCAAAGTAGGAAGCCTATGCTCCAAGGTGTCTCAATCTCCTCACCTCCTAGGTGACCTTGGTCATCAAGCAGGACTCAATGGAGGGGGTCTCACTTTTAGCAATGCAGAGGGATATCTGACATACAGGTGAAACTCGAAAAATTTGAATATCGTGCAAAAGTAAATTTATTTCAGTAATGCAACTTAAAAGGTGAAACTAATATATGAGATAGACTCATTACATGCAAAGCAAGATAGTTCAAGCTGTGATTTGTCATAATTGTGATGATTATGGCTTACAGCTCATGAAAACCCCAAATCCACAATCTCAGAAAATTAGAATATTACATGCAATCAATAAAACAAGGATTGTAGATAGAACAATATTGGACCTCTGAAGAGTATAGGCATGCATATGTACTCAATACTTGGTTTGGGCCCCTTTTGCAGCAATTACTGCCTCAATGCGGCGTGGCATGGAAGCTGTCAGCCTGTGGCACTGCTGAGGTGTTATGGAAGACCAGGATGCTTCAATAGCGGCCTTCAGCTCTTCTGCATTGTTCGGTCTTATGTCTCTCATCTTTCTCTTGGCAATGCCCCATAGATTCTCTATGCGGTTCAGGTCAGGCGAGTTTGCTGGCCAATCAAGCACAGTAATCCCATGGTCATTGAACCAGGTTTTGGTGCTTTTGGCAGTGTGGGCAGGTGCCAAGTCCTGCTGGAAAGTGAAGTCAGCATCCCCATAAAGCTCGTCTGTGGAAGGAAGCATGAAGTGCTCCAAAATCTCCTGGTAGATGGCTGCGTTGACCCTGGACTTAATGAAGCACAGTGAACCTACACCAGCAGATGACATGGCTCCCCAAATCAACACAGACTGTGGAAATTTCACACTGGACTTTAAGCATCTTTCAGTGTGTGCCTCTCCATTCTTCCTCCATACTCTGGGTCCTCGGTATCCAAATGAGATGCAAAAGTTGCTCTCATCAAAAGAGGACTTTGGACCACTGTTCAACAGACCAGGTCTGTTTTTCTTTAGCCAGGTTGTTCAGGAGCGGCTTGGCAAGAGGAATACAACATTTGAAGCCCATGTCCAGGATCTGTCTGTGTGTGGTGGCTCTTGATGCACTGACTCCAGCCTCAGTCCACTCCTTGTGAAAGTCCCAAACACTGTTGAATGGCCTTTTCCTGACAATCCTCTCCAGGCTGCGGTCATCCCTGCTGCTTGTGCACCTTTTTATTCCATACTTTTCCTTTCCACATAACTTTCTATTAATGTGCTTTGATACAGCACTTTGGGAACATCCAACTTCTTTTGCAATTACCTTTTGAGACTTTCCCTCCTTATGGAGGGTGTCAATGATGGTTTTCTGCACAACTGTCAGGTCAGCAGTCTTTCCCATGATTGTAATTCCTACTGAACCAGACTGAGAGACCATTTAAAGGCTCAGGAACCCTTTGCAGGTGTTATGGCTTAATTAGCTGATTTGATTAAAGTGGGACACTTTGAGCCTAGAATATTGCACCTTTTCACAATATTCTAATTTTCTGAGATTGTGGATTAGGGGTTTTCATGAGCTGTAAGCCATAATCATCACAATTATGACAAATCATGGCTTGAACTATCTTGCTTTGCATGTAATGAGTCTATCTCATATATTAGTTTCACCTTTTAAGTTGCATTACTGAAATAAATGAACTTTTGCATGATATTCTAATGTTTTGAGTTTCACCTGTAGGAGTTCAAATGAGAAAGAAGACTATTTTCTTAAGCTATCCAAGCTATCCAAATAAGGATATATAATCACTGGCCACTTTATTAGGTTCAATTGCTTGGGAACACAAATTGATAATCAGCCAATCACATGGCAGCAACTCAATACATTTAGGCATCTACTGTAGAAGTGGTGAAGACAACTTACTGAAGTTCAAACCGAGTATCAGATGGGGAAAAGGGGATTTAAATGACTTTGAACGTGACATGGTTGTTGGTGCCACAATGGCTAGTATTAAAGAATAGCCCAAAAAAAGAGAAAATAACCACTGTAATTGCCACAGCAATTGTGTAGACGAAAAATGCCTTGTTGATGTTAGAGGTCAGAGGAGAATGGGAAGACTTGTTCGAGAATATAGAAAGGCATGCTATCATGTCAATATGGACCAAAATCTCTGAGGAATGTTTCCAACGCTTTGTTGAATCTATGCCATGAAGAATTAAGGCTGTTCTGAGGGCAAAAGGGGGTCCAAGGTGTACCTAATAAAGTGGCCAGTAAGTGCAATATCAGAAGGTCAGGGGATTCTTGCACTATAACCTAAATGTGGCTTTAAAAGTGGAATCTCTTTTGAATCCCACTGGATGACCAAGGGGGTAGGGGCTGACGCTACAACTTCCTATGTGAAGGAGGCAATGCCATTCAACTGCACAATAAGACATTGCCAACTGGCTTGCCTGTTCACTTCAGTGAATTGGATTCTCCAACAAAATGAGAAGTGATGTCACGGAGATCCCCCAGTTCAAAGTGAACTAGACAGATTTGCTGAGATTCTGCTTATACCTGTCCTGTAGGCCCTGAATCTAATTCCAAATAAGAAAAATACATATAGTTATACTCCCAGGGACTGCCTAATTACCAGGTGTTTTATAGATGCTTTTACCTGATTGTTTTTCAGAGTGTAGATGAATGGGCTTAGAAGTGGTGCCACAATCCCAGTCATGAGTCCAGAGAGTTTACTGATGTCTATGGCTGCCAGAGTAATGCCCCTCATACACAGGAAGAGTGAACTTCCATAAATTATAACTACAATAAGGAGATGAGAGACACATGTAGAGAAAGACTTCCATCTTTCACCCACCTTGGAGGCCTTTGTTATAGCTAATATTATAAAACCATATGATATCAATATGAAAATCAGAGACCCAAACACAACCAAAAAAGAGCAGCATAGGTTAACAATCTGAATTGTCCTGATGTCAGTGCAGGCAAGCTTTAGAAGCTGTTCTGCATCACAGAAGAAGTGATCGATGACATTAGGGCCACAAAAATAAATGTTAGTAATTAGAAGAGTTGGGATAATGGTATCTGCAAATCCAGCTAGCCAACAACTCAGAATCAGGCACAGGCAGAATTCAGGGGTCATTACTGCTGTATAGTGCAAAGGGTGACATACAGCTGTGTACCTGTCAAAAGACATGACTGCAAGCAGAAGTAGCTCAACTGAACCCAGTAAAAAGTAGAAATAGCATTGAGTTAGACAACTCTGAAATGAGATCAATCGATTATCACTTGCTAAGATAGTGAGAAACTTTGGTATAATGGTGGAAGTAAAGCATATGTCCAGGATGGATAGGTTGACCAAAAAATAATACATGGGTGTATGGAGTGGGTGGCTCTTCCAGACGGTTAAAATGATAATTATGTTTCCAGACAAAGTAACAATGTGAATGGGAATAAGTAATGAAAAAGAAAAAGTCCTCATTGTTAAAGTCATTGGAAATGCTGCCAGCATGAAGTTAATAACACTACTTCTGTTTTCCATGATGATCTGATTTTCAAGTCAAAGGTATGCAGTGAAAATGTCTTGTCTATTATTGCAGCCCTATAGGGCCATGTAGGTCCCAGCATGGGCCATGTTCTAATTTCTTCTTAAGTTATTCTCTGCATTAATACATTTAGAAGAATTAAAGCTAAATAATAATTTTAATAATTCATCATATAATACAGTGGTCTCCAAACTGCGGCCCAGGGGTTGGATGTGGCCCTTTGCTTGCCTTTATCCGGCCCTCAGGGCACTTTTCCTCCCACTGATACAAGACACTATTCCTTTCCTCTCACCAACAATGGGACATAATTACTGCTACTGCCATCAACAATGAGGCACTATTTCTCCCATTGACTCCAACTATGGGGCACTATTCTTGCCACTGACACCAATGATGGGGCAGTATTTTCCTCCCACTGATACCAATGATGGGGCACTATTTCCCCCCACTGACACCAACAATAGGACATTATTCCTCCCACTGACACCAATGATGGGGCACTATTCCTGCCACCAACACCAACGATGGGGCACTATTTCCCCTCAATGACATCAACAATAGGACACTATTCCTCAAACTGACACCAATGATGGGGCATTATTCCTCCTACTTACACCAATGAAGGGGCGCTATTCCTCCCCCTAATACCAAAGATGCATTTGTTTACTGCCACTGATGCCAGGACAATCTCTACTCCCAATGGCCACAGTTAGACCACCGAAAGTCTGATGAACAGTAAACTGGCCCTATGTTTAGAAAGTTTGGAGACCCCTGATATAATATGATGAAATGTTCACAGCAGGTAGTATAATAGATATGACTTAAATATCTGGCTCTAACTCCATGGAGTTGATTACTATAAATGACTGGATATAAGCTTTTTTTTAAATTAAATAATAGTACAATATATCGAATCTGGCATATATAACTAGATAATCATTTATGTTGTTTACATTCTAATACTTTACAATCCAGATGTTTTAGGCAATATTTTCTCATTCTCAAATGGAGTTTGTGTGTCTGTTGCTACAGATTCAGTCATTGCAGATTGAGTCACTTATCCTTTCCTAGTGACTGCACCATGCTATGCATAATTGGTAATAACGGCCATACAACCCACTGCAACGCCACTTATAAATAATACCAAGCAGTCTCTTGTGTGATTCATAATGCATTCATACTAAGGGATGCAGTCTGATGGGACATCTTTTTTTTTAAATGTTACTGTAAAAATTACAATGAATTTACTGCATCATGGACACTAATTGCATGATTGAATTGACTCATTGTCTTGCAGGTATTTCTATGCACTTACTTCAGACATTTGCATAGCTTCCCTCCCATGGAACCAAATCTCTATGCCCCTCTTTCCTTTTTGATGTCATTCTTTTGATCTGGTGATTACATTTCCTTAAAAAAAAATATTTAATTTCTATAAGTGTTATACAACTCTAAACTGTTTATCCAACTTCTAAATGATTGCATTTGGTATGGTGAAAACCCAGTATAAAGGAATAGAAGACTTGTAAAAAAGGCACTTGTGGGTTAACTGGTTATTTTTGCTTAATAATTCTTCATGGGTGTGTAACTGGAGAGTTGCAGGGATTTGTTTCTTGCTTGCATACTTTGTACTAAAAGGTGTGTCTTTTTGTCTTTTTAGAAAATTGGGAACTATGCATTTGTCCCCCTCATGCCCAAGGATACCTTAACCTCTTCCTGTCTGCTGTCTATAGACTATGGTCAGACTGGAACTATACATCTGCCCGCATCGGCACCCAGGAGCCCGGCGATCAGTATGTCGCCCGGACACTGAAGTTCACATTACTGCTGTTTCTGGGAGATCACATGATGTTTTGCCACACGATTGCTGTGTCCAGTCACAACAATCACATAGTAAACACTAAAAAAACTGAAACTAAAGACCGCTTCTCTCTGCTCTCAGTGTGAGAACAGAGAGAAGCGATGCTGCAGCCTGTGAGTGTATAGCAGCATTTCAGGCTGCATGTACTCTCACAGACTGCTGTACCAACCACCCCATTGTCCCTGATCACTTCTCCTTTGTCCCTGATCACTGCCTCAATGTAGTGTCAATTAACAAGGCAACCAGCCCTGTCACCTGTCCTAGTGCTCACAAAAACATCACCATACACCATACCAATGTCCTTATTACCACCATACCAGTGTCCTGATCACCGCCATACCCCATACCAACACCCTGATCACCTCCATATACCATACCAGCACCCTGATCACCGCCATACCCCATACCAACACCGTGATAACCGCTATACCCCATACCACCATCCTGATAATTCCATATGCCATGCCAGCATCCTGATCACCGCCATGCCTCATACCAACACTGTGATAACCGCTATACCCCATACCAGCATCCTGATAATTCCATATGCCATGCCAGCATCCTGATCACCACCATGCCTCATACCAACACTATGATAACAGCTATACCCCATACCACCATCCTGATAATTCCATATGCCATGCCAGCATCCTGATCACCACCATGCCTCATACCAACACCGTGATAACCGCTATACCCCATACCAGCATCCTGATAATTCCATATGCCATGCCAGCCTCCTGATCACCGCCATGCCTCATACCAGCGTCCTAATCACTGCCATCATACCAGCATCTGGCATTTTAGGGTCTCAACTGATCAATTTTCAGATATACCCCATAGTTTGTAGACCCTTTAGCTTTCACACAGGCTAAATAATATACACTGTTTTGGCTTATTTTTACCCTCAAAATTTAGCAGAATACATTTTGGCTTAAATTTATGAAGATAAATGATTTATTTACAACATTTTATAACAAAAACTAAGGGAAAATATTTTCAAAATTTTCAGTCTTTTCATTTATATAGCAAAATAAAAAACAGTGGTGATCAAATACCACCAAAAGAAAGCTCTGACTCACACAAATTTCATATGAGTACAGTGTTGCACAGCTAATTGGCACTCAAAGTGTGACAGTGCTGAGAGCTGAAAATTGGCATGGACTGGAAGGGGGTGAAAGTGTCCAGACTTAAAGTGGTTAATACACATACATTTGAACCACAGCTCCAGCCAAACCCATACTACATACCTAATGTGGTATAATCCTAGGGAAAAGCTGCACACTGGTGATGTCTTCAAAGGCAACTTTGACTTTATGGTGCACCTTTCTTTAACTTTATATACCTAGTTTGGTTGTGTATTCTAAAATCATCTAGCCCACTACAGGCCACACTAGAAACTGTTTATGAAGGAACATACCAAGCGGAAAGTATTGAATGTGGTTTTAGACAGGGTTTGCTAAGTGGAGTAGATACAGTTGTGTTCAAAATAATAGCAGTCAGACATCACTAACCTGACCAATCACTGTTTTTGGTAGAAATGATATTTCTACGTGGCAAATAATTTACTAGCAGGTGTAGTAGAGTAATAGAAATCCAACAGACCCAACAGTCATGATATGCATGCTGCTGATTCTGTGTAATTGAATCCCTAATTGAAAGGGGCATGTTCAAAATAATAGCAGTGTGGAGTTCTATTAGTGAGGTTATTCATTTGTTGAAAAACAGGTGGCAATTATTGCCCTTATTTAAGGAAGGAAGGCAGCAAATGTTGTACATGCTGGTTACAGTGCATTTCTCTCTGAAATTCTGAGGAAAATGGGTTGTTCCAGACATTGTTCAGAAGATCAGCGTACCTTGATTAAAAAGTTGATTGGAGAGGGGAAAACTTATAAAGAAGTGCAGAAAATGATAGGCTGCTCAGCTAAAATTGATCAAAGTTCCTCCTGCGCTATAAATGGTGAAAAAAAACAACCTTAAAGCTGCCAGCACTCTCCTGCTGATACCTGATACAGTGTAAACATAAATAAATAATAGTGTGGCGCTCTAAAATAGATATAAAAATATATATATATAAATATAACCATTTATAATACGTGACCAAATAAATAAGTGACCAATTCATAAAGTGAAATAATAAAAGTATATCAAAAAGATATAAATAAATACCTCAAGTGATCTAAATAATATACCTAGTGTCTCCAAGGCTTGTTGATGCATAAAAGACATAACATAAAGTGATCATATATAATTATATCCTATATAAAGTGAACAACGTGCTAAAGTGCCAAAAAAGTGTATAAAAACATATATTTCAATTCTTGAATATTCTTAAAACACTCAGTCCATCAAGTGATAACGAATCATGCGATGTGTAGTGATGAAAAATGGTGATTTGTGTCAAACTCCTCTCCTACAGGTGGCTAAATTGCCTCCTCACCTCCTCCCGGTGACCACTAAGGGCCAGCAGGCTTGCAGGATCACCCTGGATCCTTATTCCACAAAAGACCAGCAGCTTTTCTCCTTCTTTTTTTATGTGAGACTCCTGTTTCTCTCACTCCACCAGAATATTTCTGAAGGACAATGACTCACCAGTCCAGTGAGTCAAAAAAGAGAATGCCCTCTAAGTGCATTAGTTCATGACTCCTTTATTTGCAAAAAAGTATAGAGTGACAACACTCACATTTTCTGTCAGTCCACCCTCCTCACCGATGTGTGGGTGTACTCCATGTGCATGGGACTTCCTAGGTGTAGCAAGATGGCGTCAAACGCCGGAAATGCGTCACCGCGCACCGGAAACTGCGGACTCGCGAACCTACGCGTTACGTCACTGTCTGCTCGTGACTTCCTCGGGGTATCGCATGACAGGCACAATTCCTCCCTTTATATTTACCTAAGCAATTGCGGCCCGCCTTGTAAACACCCGGCGGTAACCGCGCCATTTTCATGAAGCCTTCCCTTTCTCTTAACCGCGGCCATTTTCTTAGTGCCCTACTATGTCTTTAGTGCCTCTTATCACACAATGGGAACGATTATGGAATACATCCTATAAAAAAGTCAATGCTATACAACCTAAAAGACTTGTGAGTCTTTACTCAAATTAGA